CCCTACATTGTGTTGCCATTGTGTCTTGCCCTACTCCTGACAGAGACTTCGCTCGTCTTCCTTGGACTGAATTCTTGGCAGGCTTGAGGACATTTAATTCATAATAAATATTTAACTCCTAAGAGGAGGGATACATTTCATACCCATTTCACATAAGCAGCAGATTTAGAAGTTTCTACCAACCCAGAATGTACTTTGCACTGAGAGCTTTCTTTATCCCAGTAGAGGGCTTTTTAGTCAACATAATTCATGCAGAAAGAGTTAAAATAACATCTTTGTATGAAATTATCGTATTACCTGGTCAATCCTTTCCAACAGCTTGTAAGATTGCAATGCTTTGTCCCATTTGCTTCGATATTCAGGAAGGTACATAAAAGGAATAATTTTACTAGGGACTTCCTTAATTATCCCTTCTCCACGGTATCTAGATTGTGGGAAAAACAGATATTGAATTCACATTTATGAACTGGAAAACTAAGTTACGCAATAATGAGCACCTAGCAATTGGGGATGCCAGGCTATAATGAGGTAAAGCACACAAATGTAATTGCACTTGATGGATTGATTAAAATTCAAGTCATAATAAAAATTGTTATTCTGTAACTGATTCTTGAGACCATTACATTCTTGACACCACACATTCAAAATGAATTATTTGTGAGCTACTAGACAGGAACCTGCTAATTTAAATGTATGCAATTAATCTATTAATTTATTTTTCAATATAGATATGTTCAATCCATTTTGACACTGATTGCTGATCTCTTAGTTATGAACTCGTACATTCTGGCACTTCTCCAGGTTTAGTTCATAATCTTCTGAGGAGTTCAAGGGAAAGTTCACAGGGGGGAAGAGGGGCCTCTCACAAGGAGGAAATAGGAAACTCCTGTAATGCTGGGAACTGCTCACTAGCACTGGTAGTTCTCACACCTAGTTCCTGGAGAAACTGTGATTCACTGCAGTAATAACTCACAGACATCGATAAAATGCAAAGGTGAAGGATGCTGCGTGACACCAGAAGAGTTCAAAGGAGACTATGCTTGCAAACAGTTCAAGAGACATGAAGTCAGGTTTACAGACCCTGGTGATGCAGGAGTGTAGGTCAGAAAGGGCAAAGATAGCCAAGTCCAAGCCCAAACACAGAGGCCCTGTAAAATGACGTGTCTGTTTCTTCACTCGTCACCATTTATTGCTTTGGTGGAGTGAGCGCAGTGTGGGCGTATACAACTACTCGCTTCTCCACTGACTACAGCTGGTCCCATGGTGACGGAAAACATTTCAATGCCTACTCAAAAACAGCAAACGTAAGCTATGGCAGGACCAGTTAAAACCAGCATGTTAATATTTGGATACAGCCTCTGTTTCCATAACTCCCACAAACTTATGTTTACCAATCTCCTAAGCACCTCTCACCTGCATCCTGTAATAACTTCTCTCCTAAACTCAGAGTAAGTCCTTAATCAGCAGAACTTCTTCTAGGCAAGGCCTCTGAAAGACACAGTTGCTACAATAAAAGGAAGGGTACGCTTGTGAAAAATCTCAGCTTCCACTTTTTACAGTGGATTACTTGGAACAAAAAGAGGAAATAAGCCTGGAAAAGACCGACTGGATCACCACATGTAGTCTCCCTACCTTAGACAAACTGAAATACATACCTCATTGTCTTTCCTGGGCTTAGGTGACAGAATTCCAAACAACATCCTATTCGGCCTTGCACAATCACCTTAATGCATCCCTGACCTCTGCTGAAAATATTTCACCTGACTGAAGCAAAGATCTCTATTGCTTTTCACTAACAGAACCCATACAGATTTCTTGTAGCAAGTAAAGCAAACTGTTAATGCTCCTGACAATTAAAAAGGAAACTGGCATTCGTGACATGCGGTTAGTAAATACACAATGTCAAACTGAAAATGGGAACAGTTCTACTTTTGCTCCTACAAACAGTTAGTATTCCTTCACAACAGACATGCTCGGGACCAGTACTGCTTGTTAACCTGACAAAGATTTGCACAAAAATAAATGAATGAAAGACTCTGGCTCCCTGTACCAAATGGCAGAAATCACGATGATGCTTCTCCTACGTGCGAAGGACTTCCCCTATACAGATCTGCGTACAACTGAAAATGGCTTTGTGCCTGTCTGAGACTACAGCATATTCTTCTTCCCTCACAGAAATGTCAGGCACGTTCTTATGAATTCTAAACCACTCTCACTCCCTCACATCCACCTGAACTGAAATACAACTGTAATGTCACATACAAAGTATGCAAATTCTTATTTAGATAACAGTACTTTTAACATATTCTAATGAAATATAACAGCTATTTTCCATTATAATACTGCAGAGTAATTCCTCTGTAATGCTCGTGATACAGCACTGTCTTCTGTAATTAATACCTTCTTTGCTCAAAGCTTCAAAACTAATTAGAAAACCAAGCAAGACATTTGGATTTAGAACACCACTAATCACAAACATCTCATCACACTGACAGCAAATCTCTACCGCCTGTCCAGGTTGGCATTTAATACCCATACGGCATTAAAAAAGAAAAAAATAAATAAAAGAGAGAGAAAGAAGCTAAGGACATGTTGCAAGCATCCTCTTTTCCTCTGCTTTTCGTGAGACTGTTTTTCTTTCCCCTGGTTTCAAGGGCTGAATCAGCTTGGTAAACAATCAGCCGAATGTCACAGCCACCATAAATGAGCAGCAGTATGGCAGACCCAGGAGAGCGGTGGGGAAAGGAAAGTACAGATAGAGCCATCAGTGACAGCAAACTGCGAGATCAGCTTAGTCTGCCTCGCCTAACTCCACCCTTCGGGCCAAACCTAGCTTAACACCACAGAGTACATCGCTCAAGAGATGAGGGACAGATGAAGTCACTGGTCCTGAGTTTATATGACCTTCTTATTCTCAGTACAGTTACTTCAGTTTCAGGTGCCAGAAAGAAAAAGGTTCAAAGGACAGATAAGGTAGAGTGAGCGCGTAAGCACGTCCGCACGTAGGAGTATCGGTCATTTCACAAGTATGAGGGGGTGAAAAGCAAAGCCCAGCTGGTAAGATGTAATGGCTTGAATAGAATCACTGACTTCAGGCCAAAACTGTGACTCTGTACTTCTGCCATACTAGCAAGTGTTATATAGCAATTAATTTTCACAGCACATTCGCAACTTGTTTGGGAAACCTCTTGTATTCCAGCCCTATTGCTGACCCTGTGTGACTACAGCACAGGATCTGGAGAAACAGACCAAAACAAACACAAAACTAAACTTAGCACTTGGATGAAAGACAGACCATGGTCAACCCTCCCCTTGAAATCTTGGGTGTCACTGTTCAAAACAATGTTCCTATTCATTACAACGACAAACAAAATGTAAATACTTACATATTTCCTGCATACTCTTTTGAAGGCTTTGAAGAAACTGTAACATTTTTCTCAAAGTAGAAAAAGGAAAAATAAAAACTTAGCGGTTGATAAAGAGTTGTCAACTAATTTTTTACAGGAAAACAGTTTTAAACGCTTTTTGCAACAAAATGTATTTAATGAACATAACTTTCTAAACAACATTAACTAATATTTTCTTACTGAAACTTTTATGACTCTCCAGCCTGAAGTATCTTGACTGTATGACAGAATCTTTTCTGAAACTTCATTCGTAATTTTCTTGTAGTCCATTTATCTGTAAGATTTAAAAGCAATTAGCCAGTATATGAACAGGTTTAAACTGAAAGCGGGGAGATTGAGATTGGACATCAGGAAGGAATTCTTCCCGGAGAGGGTGGGGAGCACTCGGACAGGTTGCCCAGAGAAGCTGTGGATGCCCCATCCCTGGGAGTGTCCAAGGCCAGGCTGGATGAGGCTTGGAGCAACCTGGTCTGGTGGAAGGTGTCCCTGCCCATGGCAGGGGGGTTGGAACTGGATGATCTTTAAGGTTCATTCCAACCCAAACCATTCTATGATTCTATGATAAAAGCATTCCTTACAGAACAAAAAACATAAGGCTCATTCCTGTATTCCTTCCACAGGCTTCAGTATACATTAACTGATTATTTGTATCAACATTTTGTCTCCGTCGCATTCAATTTCAGGAAGACAGTCTTTATTTAAACAAAATTCTATAACTGACTTCCAGTTTGGGCTACTGGGAAGTAGCTATGGGTGTGCGTTTTGAGAATGAATTACAGCACCTGGAAAGACACACCATTTGCTCCATACCAAATCCATCATTAGTCCTCATTAAAACTTCCTCTCCTTATATGATGTATCGCCTGAAATTCTGATTCTGCCGTGATTTCCTAAAGTCACTAGCCCAGTAGCCAACCTGCGTAGCTAAAACACATGAGGCTCAATCAGACTTTTCTCCCATCAGGGCTTTATACAGTAATCATTAATTGTGGAATCTGTGGCAAGCCAGAGGCCTGGCTCTAGCAACCAACCTCCTCCTCCTTTCCAGCGCAACCCATCCCAATACCTCCTGTGTCCTGG